AGGAGGGGTGGGGGGTGGAGGGGGGATGGGGTGGAATTGAGGCGTGAGAGGAAATCGTAATGGGTCGTTCTAAGGGTCAAAGTTCACTCACTGTAAGTGATGAGGGGACATAACTCTCGTACAGTTTATTGTCAAGAGACATAACCCTCTCTCTCTCTCTCTCTCTCTCTCTCTCTCTCTCTTTCCCAGTAAGTGCCGGCGTTTGTCTGTGGTGTAATGACTAGGCTCTTCACGACGTTCCTGCAGAAGACTTGATTTCAATTTTCGAGTTGGAAAATGTGTTTGGCTTTGGTTTCGTTTCTGTTGTGTTTTTTTTAATCGGCTGTAGATCTATCTGTCTGTCTGTTCATATTTTGTATCCCTCTCAGTCTCAGCAGATCTCGGTCCTGCCAGACAAGGACAGGGTAGAAGAACCAGCGTCCGTGGTGTAGCGGTTAGCCACTTCGCTGTCACATGCAGGAGATCTGAGTTCGATTTCCGAGTGGAGAGGAATTTTTATCGAGTATCTCGATCTTTCTGCTGCGATGTTGTATCCCTCTCAGCCCGGTTGCCCCTGAAAGGCAATGTCGGGAGCCTGCCTCTTAAATCATCTCAATGGTGGCGTAAAAACACTGAGTTAATTACATTGTAGATAAAACAATTCAATGAGTTTAAGAAGCTTGCTTTCGGAACGGTCCTAATTGTGTCAAAGCGAGCGTAAACACTAACAGCTACAATAAAAATAAGGAATGGCAATGCATACATCGTTGTTAAGCCACAGACGATCTTGGAGTTTGGAGGTACACAGCGCCCTCTCGGTGGGTCATGAGGGGACATAACTGGTCAAAAGTCAATGACAAAGGGACATAATTCAGAAACAGAAAGTCATAATGGGTACGATTTATTCACAACGGTAGTCACAACGGGAGATAATTCACCCTCAGTGCACTCTGGTGGGACGTTATCTATTAACATTCAAGTGATGAGGAGACATAGCTTATTCACATTGATGATCGAAAAGGCATAAGTTATTCACGGTGATTTAGGAATGAACATTGTTATTTTACTGCCGGGATTATAAAGGGACATACTTGTAGCTCATCACCGTCAGTCACGCAGGGACAAGATTTACTCGCAGTTAACGAGGAAAGAAAATATTTAAAATTTGTCCCTTCGTTAATACACCCTACAACGGTGCCCATAATCAACCCCATCCCCCCTCTCTCTGTCTCTCTCTGTCTCTCTCTCTCTC